CCCCCCCTCCTAGCCAGACTGCCCCGACGCTGGAAATCAATCCAAAATATCTCTTTACAAGAGCGTACGCAACAGCGATCCCTGACCCCAGGGGAAGCACTAGTCAAGTATCTGCCCGGTCTGGAAAGATCGCTCGCCGTGCTTCGTGCGCAACGGGGGAACTCTGGTAACGAACGCACGCACGCACACAGAACACCGCCGCACGCCAACACGCAGACACCCAAACACTCCAAACACATACAGCACGCTTTAACATACACACAGCAGTAAACACGTAAGACACACTGAACGCACGAGCTAAATTAAACCGTACCCAAGACCTTGGTCTCGGCCCGTTGTATATTCCATTCAGTCACTCTTAACCCCACCCCACCAGACCCGGCAAGTAGGAACTTACACAGCCGTCGCCGCCATTGGCATCCCGAGCGAGGCTACCCCGTTACCGACGCTGACCGCGCCGGCCGAAGCGTTGGATTTTGGAACGGTGAAATGAAACCCCCCGCCGGTCTCCGGCGCCGGCGCCGGCGCCGTCTTTTCGCGCTCCTCCTCCCCCTTGCTACCGCCGTCCCGCCCGCCGCCCTCGCCAACAAGCTCTTCGAATGCGGCCCGGCACACACCTCCGGTCTTCTCGTCACCCCCGCTCCCGGCAGCCGCCGCCCCGTTCTCAGCAGCCGTCACGCTAGATTCCGACGGCGGCTCGCCGGGCCCGGCCGTGTCCGTCGGCGCAGCACGCCCCACCGCCGCCTGCGGCTCGCTAGTTTTCCATGCCTCGTCCTGACCATCGTTAGCGTGTGGGAACTCAACGCTGCCGCCGCCGGCGGCAGCGGCAGCGGCAGCGGCGACCTTCTTGTCCTTCGCGGCCGCATGATCCGCACCGCCGGCACCGGTGGCAGCAGCTGCGGCCTCCTTCTCTTCGGCCTCCACTGCCGCCATCTCTTCGAACGTGGGCGGCTCTTCCCACTCAGCGGCAGGGGCGACGGTGGCTGCACAGGGTGCGGCCGCGGCGGAAGCGGTTCCTACCTTGCCAGCGGCGGCGCCCTCGCCGGGAAGGCGCCCGGCCGGACCGTCCCTCCAGCCGTCGAAGCCGTAGTCACCGTGGCTACCGCCGCCGGGGCCACCGTCGCCGGGGCCACCGCCGCCGGGGCCACCGTCGGGGCCACCGCGGCCCCCGTTGTACACCGGCCGCCACCTGCTCGGGGCGCCGGGGTCAGGGTCCGGCACGTACGCTTGTGAAGGCATGGCGTACATCGGAGGCGGCGGAGCCGGGTAGTCGTAGACCCCTCCTCCTCCTCTTCCTCCTGCACCTTCTGCTCCTCCTCCCTGAGGATACCTGCCGAACCTATCGTGGCGCAGCAGGTGGGCGGGGAACATGGCCGAGGTCTGGGTGCCGCGGTGGCCGGGCCCGCCCGCCATGGGCCTCACGTCCATCATCTCGGGGCCGTCCGCCGGGTGGTGGGACGGGTACCCGCCCCGGTCGCGCAGCGGATCATGGGGGTCCCTCCCGCCGCCGGCGTCTGCGGGGGCCATCTCCATCGCCGCCATTGCTCTCGACCTGCTGCGGTCGAACACATCCCCGCCGCCCCCTCCCGCTCCGGGACGCGCGTGCATTTCGTCCCACGTCGAGGACGCGCTGTCGCACGACGTCAGCCTCGACAGGCCAGACTCTTCCGAATCGTACCACCCGACCCACCCTCCCTTCGGGTGCAGCGGGTACGAGTCCTCCTGGTCTCGATACGTATCCCAGTGCCGCCCGTTCGTGGGTGCGTAACGGTACAAATCGCGGCGAGCGGACTTTTCGGGAGGTCCGCCTGCGGCGGAGGCGGCAGCCGCCGCCGCCGCCGCTGCGGCACCGCTCCTGGCGTACGGGCTGCCCCGGGCGGCTCCCGCCGCCCACGGGTCCCCGGCGGCGGCGGGGTGATCGTTGCCGCCGGCCATCTCTGCCTTCCCGTCCGTGACCCGCTTGAGGTGAGCGGCAGCGACGCCCTCGGAC